GACTCGACGGCACTTAACAACAACAACAACAACATTCCATGTTCCAATCATTGATGGATGTTTGCAGCTGTTTCTTCTCATCTTGAATCATACCACATCAGCAGATGGAGGTCCCAAAAGCTTTATTCTTTCCATATCATTAAGGTCAGCTCTACTCTGAGGAGGCAGCACTTCCCCAGTCATAATTTGAGTGTCTTCTGATTTGAGGGACTCTTCTTCCAGCATTATATCAGACAATGTTTCAGGGCTATTTGTAAAGTTTTCCCATAATATATCAGTGTTTCACTGCTATTCATAAGGTTTTCACTGGCCAATTCTTTGAGAAGTAGATGGTCTCTTCCTTCTTCTGAATCTCTCTTAGTCCAGAAGCTCTGCTGAAACCTGTCCACCATAAGTAACTTGCTGGCATTTAAAATACTGATGGCATAGCCTCCAGCCATGTAGCAGCATGCAAGCCACCACAGTACAACAAACTGACAGACAAGTTTGTCTCCTTTAGTTCTTCCAAATTGCTCACTCACTTCCTGGTCTCCCTTACCTTATCATTTTTTTACTGACCCGGTGAGGTGGTGGAGGAGGGATGAGCCCTGAGGGGCTCTTACAATTTAAAAATATAATAATAAATAAAATTTAAAAGTACTATATTAGTTGCTAAATATACTCACACTTCAGAATCCTAGAGATTATGCAAAGATACACACACTTATACTCACACACACTTTCAACATATCAAAAGCTCTAAGTACTATATAAATTTAACTGTTTCTGAAGAAAACACTGAAGATGACACCAGGATTTTCTAACTAGAAACTAGTTGAAAACATTTAATAAATAAATGTATATTACTCCTACCCAAGAAATTATGTTTATATAAGCATTTTGTTGTACGTCTTCTGTAACATTCTACTAATACTATATTTCTTCAAGAAACAAAATACTCAGATCCATTTTTAAATAATTTCAAAACTCACAAGGTTATTTTATCTAATCACTCATTAAATTACAAAGTATTCACCTTGTTAAGAAAAGGAATGAAGATCAATCCACACATCGTGATATGATCAATTGTGGCTTTTTTTATTCTGCAAGGTTTTCATTTTGCCACATCAACAGTTCTCAACCAAGGGTTACCAGTGATGCTGCTCAACATCCTACAATACACACAGCCACTCACCATAACAGAGAAGTATCTGACCCAAAAGGTAAGAAACTATACCACATCTATTTTCAAATATAGAGAAAAACTGAGGTCTGCAGCTTACTCTCAGATGCAAGTATACCTTTGCTTTACATATTGGAAAAAGAACCATTTCAGTAGATAAATGTAGGGAAACTTGGTTTATGTGATAAACTAATACCTAATAAGATGTACAAAATTTCAAATTGTCATATAACCCGGACTTTCCGGGGCCATTGAGGTTAGATGGACCTCTGAAACTATTGCCTTGAGATAATCTTTATACCTTAAATCAAAAATATCCCCTGAAGTTCCCTTTAGAGCAAACACTTTAGCTTAATTAATAATTACAAAAAAAATAAAAACCCTGCCATTGTGTTTTTGATCATTTATTTTGTTTCTGTCATGCAGGATATAAACACACATACACTAATTCAACTGTTTCTACATGTACAGTTCAGTGACATTGGTGCCATTTTCAGGTGTACAACCATTTTCACCCTCCTTTTCCAAATTACTCCTCCCCATAACATAAACTCACTGCCCATAAATTTCCTATGTAATCTTTCTAGTTGCTTTCAATTTGATCCCATACAGGTAGATCTTAAAAAACACACCACTAATGGCAGACAATCTTTACTGGTTAAGCCAAACTACTGTTTGGTTTTAAGAAGACTTCAGGAGTATTTTGGGTTTAAAGTTCAAAGTTTATTTCAGAGCAATAGTTTCAGGGGTTCATCCAAACTCCATGGCTCCAAAATGTCTGGATTCCAAGAGAATTTAAAATTCTGTTCTGCTTTTTTCCCCTTTTGATCAGTATTCTTCCATAAAATCTTTGATCAAAATGTTCAATAATAGAAGCCAGGCAACATCAGTTCTTCCAATCTCATGGCAAAGGAGGTAGTTGTTCATGAAGGCACTTGGCCACACATTCCATTTCCTTCTACTATTTCTGACTCTTCTTCTTCTGTTGCTCCAAGTGAATAAAGACCAATCGTCATACCTTGGATAGCTGCTTGCAAACTTTTAAGCCCCAGGTACTATACAATGAACTACAAGTAGAACAGAAGCAATGTTTAGTGCTTGTTAGTTCAAATACAGAACATGTTTACAGACCATGAAGCAGCCATTCGAACAGAACAAGGGGATACTACATGGTGTAAAATCAGGAAACAAGTGTCCAGGTTATATCATTTCACCATATTTATTCAAATGCATATGCTGAGCAAATAATCAGAGAGCTGGACTATGTAAAGAAGAAAGCAGCAGCAGGACTGAAGGAAAACTCATTAGCAACCTGAGAGATGTAAATGATAAAAATGTGTTTGCTGACAGTGAAGATTTGATGCACTTACTGATGAAGATCATAGACTACAGCCTTCAGTATGGACTATACTGCAAAATCAAGAAAACAAAAATCCTCACAGCTGGATCAATAAGCAACATAAACAGAGAAAATATTGAAGTTGTCAAGGATTTCATTTTATTTGAATCTACAATCAATGCCCATGGAAGCAGCAGTTAATAAATTAAATTATGTGTTGCATTGGGCAAATAGGCTGCAAAAAAAAAACCAAACTCACTGCTGTTGAGTCAGATCCGACTCACCACAACCCCTCTTTGGGTTTCCAAAGTGGTATCACTATGGAAGTAGATTGCTCAATCTTGAGGACTAAAGGCCACCTTATCCAGGCCATGGTATTTCCAATCATTCTATGCATGTGAAAGCTAGGCAATGAATAAGGAAGACCAAAGAAGAATTGATGTATTTCAATTATGGTATTGGTGAAAATATTGAATATAAGGTGAACTGCCAGAAGAATGAACAAATTTGTCTTGAAAGAAACACAGCAAGAATGTTCCTTAGAAGTGTGGATGGTGAGACTTTGTCTCACATTCTTTGGACGTGTTATCAGGTGGGACCAGTACCTAGAGCAGAATACCATACTTTGTTAAGTAGACGGTTAGCAAAAAGAGGCAGATCCTCAACAAGATGAATTGACACAGTGGCTGCAACAATGGGTTCAAACGTGGCAACTATTGTGAGGATTGCACAGGACCAGGCAATGTTTCGTTCTGTTGTATACATGGTGGTTATGAGTTGGATCTGACTGGACAGCATCTAACAACATGCAGGCAACCCTAATGCCAGCCCTAACATTAGACATCTTAGTATCTGGAGCCAGTATACCTGCACCTGTTTATTTTGAGGGTTCTGTTTTGTTTTGTTTTTAATCATAATGAAATCTAAATGATCAATGTTATCTTCAGCATGTAAACTTTCAAGATACCCACAGTATTTAAATTTTCAGTAAATGATATATCTGAGAGGGATATTGGGGTAGGGCTTGAAAATTAAAAGCTAAGAAAACAAGGAAGAATGAGATAATTAGTCTGTAGAAGACAATGTAAGAGAACAAAGGAGAATGAATTAAAAGGAACCCACGGAAAGCAATCTGTGACTTGGTTCTGACTAAGCAAAATCATCTGAATTGTCATACCCTGGGGTGGAATTTGATTCAGACCAGTATTGTTCTTCAGTTTCTTGACTACAGATTAAAAAGATGCCAGTATGTCCCATCAATTTAAGAAATTTACTAGTATGTTTTGATTAATTGCCTTTATGTTTTTATTTTTTACTACAACTCAGAACAGTATAAAAGAGTGGTTAGGCAGTAGTGCCTGGATTTACTGAGACTACTGGGTCAATAAGGAGCTCTGGTGGTACAGTGGTTAAAACATTCAGTTGCTAACCAAAATATTGGCAATTGGAATCTACCAGACACCCTGAGGAGAAAAAATGAGGCAATCTGCTTCTGTAAAGATTTACAGCTTAGAAACTCTACAGTGCATTCCATTCAGTAACTGGGTTTGGGTCTTTTTTTTGTTTTTGTTTTATCGGATCAATAGCCTAACCAGTGTATGTAAATTTAGAATATACAAAAAGATTATCAATGGAAAACTATTAATTATTTAGAGCAGACTTTCAGGTTAGCTGAATCTAGTCTTTTATTCACTTTTGCTACTCTATAAATTAAAATAACTAATAGCAATGCCAAATATTTCTTGCCTTTAATCATGAAAATACATCCTGTCCAATGGAGGTTCAATTTCTTACCCCATACCCTATGGTAAAAGCAAGATTTGTTTATTTATGAATTCATTTCAACATTCTTTAACCCCACATAAATTACTGCTTCTTTGGATATGTTTTGAGCCAGTTATAACATCTGTCTGGTTTCTTCATTAATAATGAGTTAAATAAAATATTCAACACTTGTTCATTTTATAACTATGAAATTCATAAATTTACTTTTTTTTCTTTGAAAAGAAGCCCTTAAACATCATCAAAAATAAGGCAATAGTTCTAGAAGAGATCAGATTTCTAAAGTTTAGTGTAAAAAAATGTTTTATTATTTTGTTCTCAACCAGCTTTTTATATAATCAGAAAATTTTACACATTGATGCTGCAAAAGATCTTTTCAAAATGTTAAAATATATTTGATTAGCTTTACTTATTATGTGTAATATAATTGAATCTTACAGATGACTACACGATTAATTTCATTCATTTAGTTCCATTCATACTGATTTTTAATGACATTATTACTATGTTCTTCTCCAAATAGCTGATATTAATTATGATAATAAATGTCCATAGCAAAAGACAAATTCCATAACAGTCTTACAACCTATAATACAAGAAATTTTCTTAACGAAATTATCATAATGGCATTTAAGTGAATTGTACCAAAACTTAGCAAATGAACCACTCTGTAGTATCTGTTCCTTTTATCCCTTGTCAGAAGTATAAATACTTACCCCATGTTCTTTAGCAGCTGTGACAACTTTAAGGAGAACATCTTCCTCAACAAATGGTCTCACAGCATCATGGATAATCACAACTTCTGGCTTAGAGAACTTAGAGTTGGACTCCTCCTCTGCCAGTGCTTTTAGTCCATTAAAAATTGACCTATGGCGGGTCACTCCAGATTCAACTAGTGAAACACGTTTATGCTGGTATCTCTGGATAATACCCTCCATTACTTCCATGTTCTCTCTAGTTACTGCCACGACAATGTCCTTTATCCAACATACTCTAAAAGAAAAGTGTATATACATTTCATATAAATTGATTCTTAGACAACTAAAATTAAGCTAATAGCAAAAAATTTAATTGCTACTTACTATTAGAATATCTATATAGGGAAAAGAGAGCTCTGGGATGTAGTACCCAAGGCATTTGACTGCTAACCAGAAGTCTGGTGGTTCAAAGCCACCAGTCACCCCTCAGAAGGAAGATTGGGCAATCTACTTCCAGTGATACCACCTCAGAAACCCAAAGAGGGGTCTCTATGAGTCATATCCGACTTGATGGCAGTGAGTTTGGTTTTTGGATACAGGGGAAAAGAAACTGAAAATTAATAACTATATCAATTTTATGCATTTTCACTAGTTCTGATAAAGAAGCAGACAAAAAGTAAAGAATTATATCATATGATAGATTGATAATGTCATACTATATCACAAACTTCTGACTTAAAAGTTTAAGTTAAACAATTAGATTATTAGAAGATTGTCTGGGAAAATAAAATATAACAGAGATATGCTTTTAACTTTTATTGTGACTTAGGTGAATTTTGCAAAGCAGATTTGTTTTACATTCATCAGTTCATACACATTTTGTTTCACAACAACTGGGAGATGCTTTTAAGCTGATTTTCTTTTTCTAATAATTTTCCTTAATGGAATAGGAATAATTCAAAGTCCTTTTGAATTCCATAAGTTGATTATCTCTTTTAAGCAGTCTATTCTGTTGGTAGCCAACTATTGGAATAACAACAAAGCTAGATAACTGATCTAACACAAAGCCTTGCCTACATCAAGGCAAAATCTATAATTTAAATGGGAGAAAACTACAATAATTGAATTTGCATACATATAAATCAGGACTCACTGCAGTAAAAAACCTCAATATTTAATGAAATTCTAAAATAAAGAAATAGTTCTGTTGAGTCATATATAAAGCATAAAAAGTATGCTTTCTGTTGTAAAATATTTTCTTAAGAAAGAGTTACTGACCTACTGGGCTATAAAGAGTCCAAATTTCTGAGTGGCTATTAAATTAAAGCAGACTGGCGGACTTCTCTGGAACACCAGTGCTAATGGAGGCCTGTAATTCATTGTAGCTTCAGTGTTACACAGCCAATAGACCCAAACCGGGAAAATTATCTCTGACCTCTAATAAGAATTGAACAAAAGGCCATTTTCTAAATACAGATCATTTTAAATTTTAATGCCTAAGGCATTTGACTGCTAATCACATGGTTGGCGGTTCAAACCCACCACCCACTCCTCGGAAGGAAGACTGGGCAATCTACTTCTGTAGAGATACCACCTCGGACCCCAAGGAGGGGTCACTATAAGTGGGATCCGACTCGATGGCAGTGAGTTTGGTTTCTGGGCTTTTTGAGGTCCTACATGTTCATGCTGGAATAGACCTTGAGAAAAATTTTAAAGAGATGGAAGAGATGCATGAAAATAACTGAATAACCAAAATGATTATCTACTTTTTGTACTGAAAAATGAAAATTAACATTGGGATTCTTCATTCAGTAATAAACAATCTCCTACCTTCTGTTAGGAACTCTGGTAGCCTAGTGCCTAAGTCATTTGACTGCTAACCAGAAGGCTGGCGGTTCAAATCCACCTGCCACTCCTTGGAAGGAAGGTTGGACAATCCAGTTCTGTAGTGATACTACCTCAGAAACCCAAGGAAGGGTCACTATGAGACGGAGCCAACTCCAGGGCAGTGAGTTTGGTTTGATCTGGTTACCTTCTGTTATTGAATGAACTCTTCATCCATGTAAATATCCCATTCTGCCTGTGACTACCCAATACTATGCTGGTGAAAAACAACAAGGACTACTTTATAAGCATACTGCCATTTTATTTTAAGTTCATTCTTTTAACAAATATTGAAGTATCAAATAAATGATCAGCATGGAGGATACAACAGAAATAGGTAGTCACGATTTATAGTCAGATGTGAAACAATAATAATAATAATAATAAAACTATTGCAAACTGCAATCAATATCTATGAAGGAGAAGCACAGTGTCAAGGAGAGCATGTAAATGGAGCACCTGAACAGAACAGAAGAGGTAGAGATGGTATTCCCTAAGGAAGTGGAGTTTGCATTGAGAATCAGGAGGTGAGTGACAGGTAAACAGGCAAAGAGATTTGGATTGAAGGAGAAAGGGTGCTCTAGGCAGAGGCCATGGCAAGTCCACTAGGTCTAGAAAGAAGTGGAGTTGAAGTTCAATGAGCTAAGGGCCAAGGAGCCCATGAAGACACTGGGAGCCTAGGTAAATGTCAGGACAGGCCATGCAGACCTCCCAGGCCATGTTAGGAGGATTATTCCCTAATCTTAAAAACAATTGTGAGCCACAGAAAATCTTTAATTGGGAAAGTATATTCCCACTTACATAAATAAATAAGGAATACCTTATGTTCTGGGTATTGCTCTGCGTTGTGATAGAAGCTGTGGTAAGCAGAACAATGGTCCCTGAAAGATGTTCTTATCTTAAGTCCCCAAACTTGGGAACCTGTGAATATGTTACCTTACATGTCAAAAGGAACTTTGCAGAGTGATTAAACTAAGGATATTGAGATGGAAAGATTATTCTGGATTATCCAGGTAGGCCAAATATAATCACAATGGTCCTTACAAGAGGGTGGTAGGAAGGTCAGAGTTAGAGGAGGAGATGTGACCAGAGAAGCAGAGGTCAGAGTGAGGAAGAATCACAGCCAAGGAACGTGGATGGCTTCTAACGCAACACAATGCACTACTGTCTAGTCAGATCTGACTCATAGTGACCCCTCCTTGGGTTTCTGAGGTGGTATCACTATGGAAATAGATTGCCCAACC